GTTCCACATTGTTTGGCAATTGATCATATAGTAGGCTTTTCACCTTTATATAACTATTTTTTTGATAGTGGACTTTTTTTTGTTTATCGGTGTTTTTGTAATTGGTATCTTATGGTTAGCCTTTGACGGTTGAATTTTCGTCTTTTCTGTTATGTCTTTGTCAAAGTAACTTATATTTTGTTCTGTCACAATAATACTTTATCTTAAAGATTACAATGAACTTAGATGTGATTTAATTTAATAAGTCTTAATTAATACAAAACAATATGATTATTATGTTGATTGGGTGGAATTGATATTTATAAAGCTGTACATTTTGTTCCTTTTTTTTTCTTTTCTTTTATCATTTTTTTTTAATTTTTTTTTGTTGCTGTTTGTCTTTTATGATGTCCTGTTTATCTCATTGTAGATATTTTTTATTGAAATTTATCTAGCAATAAGTCGATATCTTTTTACTCTAATTAATGCAAGTTGCTTTGCAATTCAAGAGACCATTAAATATCAAAGACCTTACATCAAGCCATTTCTGAATTTTTCAGCTCCAGAGGCAGTTGTAAATTATTCCACTAAGTACACGTACATACATATTTCATGTGAACGTGCTCTATTTCAATTTGTGATGAATATGTCCCGATACTAAAATTAGGTTAATGTCATATATCTGTAATTTAAAACGCAACATGTTATATCCGTACCGTTTTCTTCTGTAGTTATATTGTATTAATATGCGTTGCATTTTTCACATTTTACTTATAAGATTGTGTCATAGATTAACAGTAGTACTAATTATACAACAGTTCGGGTATTTTGTATTGTTATATACCAGGTCAACATAGTATCTCTACTACTGGAAGACCATAAATAAACGGACGGAAATTGTGTAAATTATTAACCAAACAGTCGCTAGGGTAATAATTGTTTCATTTTTCACATTTTCATTTAAACGAAAACTTTGGTTGTTTTTCGCTCAGTAATTCAACCCTCATTTTTCTAGGAGTAAAGATTATACCCATGCGACCAGTGCAAACCAAGACGAGGCGGCACACCCGCGACGTTTGCCAATTGACTTTCAGTCAATACACATCGTGAAATGTTCACTGAAATAATGAATGGTTTATTTTATTGGACAAATCGATATAAGATATTCAGCATGAAAGGGATTATTAGCATGACAGTCAACAAATGTAGAATTTATTCAATGGAAGTACTTCCGGACAAAATTATAGAAGATCATACAAGACAAAAAAAGATCAAATGTGCTTTGTGATTTAACTTATGTTAAGATATACATTTTTTTCTTATTCTGCGCTTTAATAGTAATATACACAAGTGCTGTTTTTCTTTGCTCATACGTTAAAGTTACAATTTAATTTAATTCAATTCAAATATCATATTTTCTTCTCTTCACATGTACAACATATACATCGCAATCAAAATTAATTAAAACTGGTAAAAGTGCATATGCCATTCAATACAGAATTATATGAGACGTGTAAGCAAAGCTTACTAAAAGTCATATTTACATTCTAATAAAATTATATACAATACACACATTACATTGAATGTATTGGGAATGCTGTGAATCTATCATTTTGTCTTAAAGTTTATATATAAAACAATTCACTAGTCTGCTTATGAAATTACAAATCAAAAAATACTAGAATGTACAAAATACACTTAAAAACCTATTAAAAACATTACTCCTAACCAATAAAATAAATTACAGCTGTAATATTCACAACACTGTCTGACTTAAAATACCTACATTAAATAGAAGAGTTACCTACAATTAAGTAAAAGAAGTCTATGCTTTTAAATATTAAAACAGGCTTTGGCTGTAAACTTAGTCATACATGGATTAAGAAAAACGTTATGCATTTTCTCAACATCAGATAAGTTGTCAAAATTATTAAGAATTGTTCTTGCAGAGTCAAATAGGTCTTCCCTGAATTGTATATAGAGTGGACAGTGTAAATTAACATGTATCTCATCTTCTACGGTATCAGTACAGTTGAAACAAGTTTTTTCATGTATTGACAGATTTTTCATACCTCCCAGTTTCCAGTCTTATCGATGCAACACCGCATCTAAATAATGTCATAGCTCTTCGATAATGAAAAGGCTAATGTTGTTTTACATAAGTTTTAGTTTCAAAAACATTCTATATGTTCTAAGCTTATTTCTATCATTTCCAGAAATTGATGACACTTGTTCTAATGATTGTTTCCATTTATTAACTTCTAAATGGAGTTAAATATACCGACACTTTAAAATAGTTAATTTATTCACATGATTGCCTTGTAACCTTAACCTAGCTACTTTAAGGAAGTCGCACTCTAATGCTTTTTTGCTTTTGAAATCAATTAAATTCTTCATTATCGTACTAGCAATTTACCTGATACATACAATTCTACAAAATATATAACGGTTTTCAGTTGTTTTTGTTCTTTTAGAATCCCAATAGTGTAAGACTACCTTTATGCTTCAACTGGTATCCTTACATATGATGAAGTGAGGGCAGTCATAAAATCACTTTACTTTCATTTACTCTAACATTATTACATCTCTTGATTTTTACTCAATATTTTTGTTCATCATAATCTCTGACGAATATGTTTAATAATACATTTATTCATTTTGAAAATGCTCTTTCTATACATGTATCAGCTGCAACCTACGCAAACTTTCTTTAAAGGCCCATTATGCCTCAGATATGCTATCATTTTGATTTTTCTAACACATTTCATTAATGGTATCTTGTTACAGTTTCAAAAACAATATTGTTTTGCCGCATAAATTAACTGCCATTTGCTGCTGTTGCTTTTTAAGTAATTGGTATAATTATAGTGAATTAGTATTATATATGTAAGTCAAAATACGACTATGTTTACATTTTGCTACCTTTACAATACATTACTGTTTGTTCACTGCTATTCTCTTCATTTGTTTAAAATCTAACATGCTTTAAATCCACTATCTAAACATTTTAAACACATATTTAGTTGTTTTAATGAATTATAAAATTAATGGATGTCTGAGGCATCATGGGCCTTTAAATACCAGTACTTTATAATAATTTGTATGTTTATAAACTACTTTTTTCCATAGGATGTCTCGAAAACAAATTAGTTTTCATTGTAAATATAGCCTATCGTATTCTCTGGTGGTTTTGATGGATATGTTTTTGATAAATAGATAAATGTTTTGGACACGCTCTCAAAATGTAGATATTCAAGATAGATCATGTTTGTTAAGAGACAGTAGACTCTGAATAAATACGTAAATTATCTGGATACAACATAAAAATCAAACTTTGTGATTTTATACGGAGATAAATAATCAAATTATACGCACAGAACAAAAAAAAATGAATTCCTCAAAAAGTTGTACATTTTGTCATTACAATAGAAGCTGTTCTTGTGAAATAACTGTTGAATGTATGAACCAAGTTTAATGTATATAATTGCGCCTTTCGTAAGTTTAAATAATGTCATTGATTAAACGTTTTTAATTAATTTTGCCACAAATACACGATTTAAGAAAAAAAAGTCGAAAATTCGTTATTTGGCAGGCGCTGGTGCATGCATAAGCTTGAAAGAGATACTTCATATCTAGATTATTGTTATCATAGATTATCATGTAATCACTGATTCCATATCTATGTCATCCAATACTGATAAAAGAAAGAGGTCAATGGGTGACTATTTGGAGTCAGTAAATTGTTTTTGTTAAGTAAGAACTTGTGTCATTTGTACAGTGAGGTTTGTTTGTATTTTAGGAAGTCATAAGCATATCTAAAGTGCAATCACCTGTGACTAGTATTGTATCAACGGCCTTAGAATACTCAATATTTGTCTTGACAGGAGAAGAAGAAAAGAAGAAAAATTGGATGGCATGTAAAATGCATGTAAAAATATTTGTCTGTGATAAATAGAAAAGTTCAAACCTTATATACACGACCCCTGAATGTCTAGGTCTGTTCATCTTAGAAACGGTAAAGGGTATTTTGACAAAGATAAGTGGTCCTCAAGAAATTCCCAAAACTGATTCCGTATCTGTCATCTTATAACAATATTTCAATAATAGATAAAAAATTAATCGATTCATCTCGGAGAATATCTTGTTTGTGTAAGATACTTTGAGCATCATAGTGTACAAACTTTTAAGTCAAATTATAACTTTAAATGTCATATGCCAATTTTCAGCTTTACTGGTCGAGGTAGACCTCAGATGCTACACTTCGGTGTTGTCGAATTGATCCTGCATAGTTGTGCATACGTGAAATAAAGTAAAAATGAGATAAGTCTTAAGTTATCAATCTAAGTCTTTGTATTGTATTGTTTTGCTTTTTAAATAAAAGTGTAAATTTTGCGATTGGCGTATTATAACGGTGTTAGTCTTTACATCAAACGCTTACTGTTTTACTTTCGGTTTACGAGAACTTTGCCATGCAATATGGGGTTTGGTAATGTATATAATCATTTATAAAGGTTATCCAGCGGAAGCAGTAATCACAACACAATTAAATGAAAATTGCAGGCTCGATTTCGTTAGGGATGATAAAAAATTTCACCCCTTAAGCACCGGTTTGAGCGGTACTCAATTTTCAACACTTAAATGTGTTGGAATCAATGATCCCGAAGGACTAGAAAAATATAGCAACCCTTAAATTTAACTTTACGAAAATGTTGCGAACTACAAAATATATTAAATCATTATAATAATGTAACACTGTATCGGTAGTTCACTGTATAATTTACGGTTAATTTGAAAGCAGGTGTGTATGTCTTTTTATCGGGATTTCAATGTATATATTTACAAATGTAGACAGATGATTTTCATTGATTTAACCCACGAAAATATTTAAACTATTGTTTTGTCTGGTTCGGGTTTTTTTTTTAAGTTTTTTGTAGCCAATATAAAGTATTATATTGTAAATATGTATAATTAATATGGTATGCAGTGCATGCAAGACATTAAATTACAAATTTACAATGGCGGTTTATACTATCTATTTATTTATATATTCATTCATTCATTCATTCATTCAGAAAAACAATGCATCTAATTATTTAAAAAAGCATATATAAACTATAAAAAATATAAAACTATGAAATAAAACGTACGTTATGAACATAGGAAATCTATGATAAATAAATACAATATGAATGTGAAATGCGTTTTAAAAAATCCAGGAGTAATTCTTCCATTCATGTATTGAGACATTACTTTGTACGTAGAAAACGTTACTATAAAACCTCTTGTTTTGTATTTCTGTCAGGCCTGTGGCAGTTTTCAAGTCAACCATTCGCGGTTTACAACAATCATGCAAAAATTTATAGTATTTAGCAAGTATTCAACAGTTTTCTTAGTTTCTTTAACACAAAATGTTTTCTTCTTGATGCTTTAAACACAGCATCTCTATCGTGACGATAGAAAACTACATCATCTAGGTACTCGTAATTTGAAAATATTACAAATGTCTTTCTTTTCAACCATTTTTGACTGTATTTGTCCAATGGAGCTTCAATGTTCTTTCTCATGTGAACACGTCTCAAATATAGTCCATTCCATTCATACTGTGTGACTTTGATAACAAGATTACGCCTGTCTTTTGTTTCTTCCTCACCCGTAATCTTCACGTAAAACACTGAATTGCAATTTTTAAAGTGTCATTAATTGATTTATCAGTTAGCATTTAAAAACATTAAGTTAATGAATACTTTTTTAAGATAAAATAGCAATGATCGAGTGAGTATTAAGAGTTAATTGAGTTATATCGAGGCTGGTTGTGTAACAGTTGTAACTGATTTGACATACATAAAGAGATACACCCATTTTTCACCCTACCCTCGATAAGTATATTTTGTCTTCAGTTGCGACTTTATTACATGCATGTGTTTTGTACAAAGCTGAGATTATAATCTACTTGTTGCATTTTTTTTTTCTTTACGCTCTGTAATGTTTAAAGCAGCATGCCTCCAGATCCATGCTTATTTTTATGAAAATTTGAAAATGTATTTAACAGCATACTTTTGTGATGTAACCAAAAGAATGGAATTAACACATTATCAATGGCACTTACAACCCATGTAAATTACCATAACGAGGTCAAAATATGCAGAAATAGCCCTTACTGCGTTAGTAACGCAGTAGAAATATAGTTATGAATACTAAGAATATGGTCATTAATCGCACATAATATGAAAATTTTTGCCTGATTTTTTTCATCTTTATACTTTTTCTTAAATCTTATTACATTTTTCTCAGGTTTGATTTTATCGAACTATTTTTGCTTTTCTGGAGGCGTGCAGCTTTAAGTTTAGTGACATGAAATCTAAAATACACTCAAGAAATCGGATACATTGTATATCTAAATTCATGTTTTCTGATATTCATGATTTTGAAATTTATAAAGTAGAGAAATGATGAAAGATTTATTAATACACACAGATTATCAAACTTGTTTCGTTTTTTCAATTACATTAAGGAATAAATAAGGATAACAAAGGAAAATGAAAGTTTCTCTTATACAATTTACATTTCTTAAACAAGAATTCCAGTTATATGTAAAGATTGTTTTGCCTATTAAGAGTGTGGTGTTTCTTTTCTCTTTTTCGGTTAAACCAAATACTTTCAAGTATCCAATTTTTATATAAAGAATTCTTACCAAATTTTTTACTGCATATTTCAATTTTTGTACTTGACCAAACAGGGTACTTTTTTCTAAGCGTTGGCAATTTATTACTCATCAGTGCCTCGTTGCGTGAACCATGCTGACAAGGTAATTTGGCTGACCTTCTTGCAAACACAAGTACGCCACAACAGCTGTAAGTTTATATAATAAAAAAGTAGTCATCATATCGGAGACATCTCCCCTATAAGTGTTTTGCATTGCAAAATAATGAAAGACCCTGTATGTTGTCATTAAAGGATTTAACAAACAGCTAAGTGAAGTTTTATATAATTATGCATATAATTATTCTTCTAATGATAATCTAAAAACAAAAAACAATTTCCATTTAAAGGTACTTACACATAATTTCTTTCCGGTTTATTGTCATAGATTGTGTATTCATTACTTGTCATCTGACAGCAAGTTTGTTTGCTTGGCTGGTATGTCACTGGGCCACAACATCCGACAGTGCCTTTCTTATTAGTATAAGTACTAAATGTTCTTCCATTACAAGTTAATGTAACGATGCTTTTCAACAAAAAAGAGGATACTTATTAGTGTATTTAACATTTCGTTCATCTGGAGACAGGTAGCTTTAAAGTTAAAAGGAATGCTAGGATATATGCATTACATCCAAAACAATAGAATGTTATAATAGATTGAGGTAAATTGTACCAACTGGAAAACAATGTCAGTGGATTTCACAAAATAAACTTTACACATTTCAAAACAATACGGTAAGCGCAGTCATTACATGTGATATTATGTTAAAAAACAACGTTGTTTAAACGGATAGGATAAACATATTACTTTATTAAGTCTTTAAAGACTGACATTTGGGATATACACGTATGTATATTTGATTTTATTATTCAATGTTAAAGAAATAAAGAAATACCTGAGAGAAGTGTTAATTGTTGACGACTTATTTGATTGGTCATTTTGTAAAATTTTTGAAGTGGAGTTAAAGTTTGTTGTCGGCGGTACAAATAATGGCCTAACATTTCTTATGTCCATCACCTTCCAGTTATTGCATTCCTGAGTTTCGTTATCATATTTGGTTAAATTAAGTCCACAGAATAATATTACACTTACGCTCCCTGAAAATGTAAAATAATCTGTTTTAAAATACGCAAAACACCTACAATATACTTACAACTTTATTTATGTAAACTTTTATATTTACTTATAATGATGCCTGCGATTAAATTTGTAAAAGAATTCTTAGTTATTATCAAAATATAATTTTACCTTGGCTGATGATGAAAAGAAACAAAATCGTGGCTAACATTTTAATATATTTAAATGATAGAACATATGAACATATGAATTTATACCGTTATAGTTACATCAATCTATTATTATCATAGTTCAGGGGAAACTACGTATCATAATAATCATGCTGGTTTTCCATTTCTATTTTTATCCAACCGTCGCCTGGAACTAGGTAAACAAAAAACAACAACAAATGAGTAAACTACAATGAAATTAAGTAAGCATTTAATTTAGAGTCCGTAATACCTCAGAAAGCTTTTATTTTTTATTTCCCAAAATCTTTTAAAGTATGGTGTACTTTGCAGTACCCAAAAAAGGGTTTATTTGCATAAATTTAAAGGAAAATTATCTGAACTGTTTTTTTTAAATTTTTTAAAGTTTTGGGGAAATTAATGTCAGTTTAGGGGTGAAGGGGTTTTTTGTAGGGAATAAAAATTTAATATTTTTTTACTTTTTGCTACTTAACAAATTATAATAAAA